AAGGAGGAGGAAGAGGAAGAGGAAGAGAAAGGGGAAGGGGGAGGAGGAGGGGGAAGGGGAAGGAGAAGGAAGGAGGAAGAGAGGAAGAGGAAGAAGAGGGGAGGGAGAAGGAGGATTGTGGGGTCTTTGGTGGTCCCTGAGCTTAATTGCTTTCTTGCAGGTGTTTCATCACCCATCTAAGTAACGTTATCAGTGCTAGAAGGGAGTGGGGTTTGCTGTCATATAACAGACTAACAGACCACTGTAAAAAAAAAAACCATACACACAGGAAGCTGTGTATATATGTTTCTGCTTGTGTGTATGGTTCTGATTGCAACCTTAATTTATTCTACAAAATAATTAAAAGCATCTGATTGATTGGGTTGCCTCCATGTCTGCTGCAAGGTGTTATTACATCATATGTATCATGACACCAAGGCACTGTCTGCTATTTTGTGCCTTTAATTGTGTCCTTGATTCCAAAAGGCAGCACAACCCACACTGTCCCCCTCCCTTCCCTTCTCTGCAGATGCTAAGGGGGGGGGGGGAGGATTAACTAGGTAGCCTTATAATCCTGCAAATCTGAACATCTAGAAACATGGTTCAGTCTAGCCTTGAAGATTCACTTTATTTCGATCCACGTGGAGTCACAGAAGTAGAAAAACAGAGTTGAAAGGAACCCTGGAGGTCATCTAGTCCAACCCCTCACCTTGATGCCATGTCAACAGATAAAAATCTCTTACTTGTCACACTCTTTTCTGCTTTTTTATCGACATGGGGTCTCTCCGTAATGCCCTCAGTGGCTTCCCCGGCTAAATCCAAAATTTCTTCTGTTCTTTCACTCTTGAACCACGGCATCTCCGCCATAATTTCGAGGACCCTTGACGATCCAAACCAAGAAGCAGAATTACGGCCAGGAGTAATCAAACTTCAGAGACATGTAGTCCTCAACGTACAACCCAAATTGAGCCCACAATTTCCATTTCTAAGTGAGACATTGTTAAGTGAGTTTTATCCCCATTTTATGAACTTTATCACCACAGTTGTTAAGTGAATCACCACAGTTGTTAAGTGAATCACTGCAGTTGTTAAGCGAATCTGGCTTCTCCATTGCTTGTCAGAAGGTTGCAAAAGGGGATCAGGTGACCCTGGGACACTGCGACCGTCATAAATATGAGTCAGTGGCCAAATGTCTGAATTTTGATCGCTTGACCAACGGTCGCAAGTGTGAAAAATGGTCATGTCACTTTTTTCAGTGCCGTTATAACTTCAGACAGTCACTAAATGAATGGGTTGTAAGTCGAGGACTACCTGTAGATTTAAATAAATTCAACCAACTTACTTGGCAGGGAGAACAGCACGTTCAGACATGCTTTCATCTTGGGGAATAGTGTCTGTTTGACTGGACAATGTGTCACTTTCTCCTTCAGTTTTGCCAGCTGGCACCTGCAGTTCAGCTAGTCACAAAAATAGAAATATTTAGATTAGCTGCTGCTAGAAATAGAGTGTTTTATCAGTTGCTGTCTCAACCCTACTGAAGAATACTGCAATGTTTTCAAATTGAACGCTGCTAATGCTCTGTCCTTCATTCTCTTTTAAACAAAAAAAAAATCAAGGTTTTCTCTTGTTTCGCTTTTAAATTCTACTGTGTGTGCATTTTTTTTGCATTTTATTTCTTTTTAATTGCTTTGCTGCTTGCTGGTCACAGAGCGTATTTACTGAAAATTGATTAAAACAGTGCTGTAAACCAAATCTGTCTTTTAAAAAAGGATTAAAAATAATATAAAATAAATTAGCAGCCTATTAAGTTGGGTCTATTGATTAAGGCACCAGGCTAGAAACCAGGAGCCAGTGAATTCTAGAACCACTTTAACCATGAAAGCTGGCTGGCAGACTTTGGGCCAATCACCAGGAGACAGGGAGTTCTAGTCCCACTTTAACCATGAAAGCTGGCTGGCAGACTTTGGGCCAATCACCAGGAGATGGTGAGTTCTAGTCCCACCTTAGGTTGGTTTGGTGACCTTGCACAAGTCCTTTCTCAATTTAAACCACCTCACAGGATTGTTGTGATGGAAAAAACAGGAGGAAGGATTATAAAATATATTCACCACTTTGAGTTTATAAACATAATAAAGGTGGGATATAAATAAATAATGAGAAGGAAGGGAGGGAGGGAGGGAGGGAGGGAGGAAGGAAGGAAGGAAGGAAGGAAGGAAGGAAGGAAGGAAGGAAGGAAGGAAAGGAAAAATGATGGAAGGGAAAGGAAATGAATTATTCTTGGATTTCATGGATATTTCTTTACCCTTCTCCATTTCACAAGAAATATTGTGTATGTCATCTGCTGTTTACCTGTAACCATCACTATGCAAAGAAATAATGTCCATCGTTGGTCCATCTAGCGTAACCAATTGCATGTAGGGCAGAAAGCCACGCCCACTGCCCCAAATAACAAGACAGAACAGTGGAACAAAGGAGCAATAAACAAAGGCAGCTCCTTGGCCTTCCATGTGCGATGCTGCAGAAGGAATCTTACTTCCATGTGATTATCCAAGAAGACGGAGAGAAGAACATGTCCTCTATTAGCACAAGAACATTCTTCCACAATGGATCTCCACATCTGCATCAAAAGTGCTTCTGGACACCTTCAGGGCTTTCCCAATTTCCACTTTAGGTGGAATTACAATTCATATCCAGGGGCAGCCTCAGGAGGTGGCCCTAAAAATCAAGATGGTGGCCACCACAATGATAGCATCAAAGCTTCTCCTGTTTGTTTGTTTTTTAATGAGCATGATAACATCAAAGCTTCTCCTGTTTGTTTTTTAATGAGCATGATAGCATCAAAGCTTCTCCAGTTTGTTTGTTTTTTAATGTGTCTGCAATATGCTTTTAAAAAAAGTGGGCATCAGTTCTATCTTCATGGCTACCATCTTAATTTTTTTTGGGCGCCCTATCAGCTATCCTGAAACTTCTCCAGGAAGTTTCAAGGAAATGACCATTAGCTCAGAAGAAGGAGGTTCTAAAACTCAATAAGCTATGTAGAAGATCATCAACCTAAGAAGACTTTTGTTGGCCCACCCATCAACCAGATACCTTTTCCTCTATTAATCCCATGAAGTTGATTGCCACAGACACAGGACCTCCAACCTGGACAGTCAACATGAAGAGTCAACATGAAGACTTCTTAGCAGGCCTACAACACTACCCCAACTGACAAACTTTTTTGGATGAAGACTATCAAGTTAGACAGATTGCTGAGCTTTCCAACTTGAAGAGGGTCTATGGATCTGTAGAACATCTAAAGTTGGATGTTCTTGAAATGCAGTTGGGCATCTCCTAAGGAAATATTCTACTGGAAGCATGTTTTGAGTTATGGAGTCTCCAAATGGAAAAGGATCCAAGATTTTAATCACTGGGGGTAGAAAGTTATGCTTTGGTGTAGACTTCACGAAACATGGCCCTCTTTTTTAATAGTAGGAGAAGAGGTTATGAAAAGAGATATTACATGTCTGACCTGGATGTAGATTTGAAGGGTTTGCTTAGGAACATCTTTCTAGAAGTAGATTACTTTTCCCAGATTGGTTTAATAGATCTTGACTAGATCCCCAGATCAACACTGCAGATGGAGCAGTATCTTTTCCTACTCAGAAGGACAATAGATTAGTTTGTTCTTGAGTTTAATCTATTGTTAATACTCCTCATCTCACTTTACAGGTAGGCCTTGACTTACGACTGGTCACTTAGCGACCTTTCAAAGTTATGACAGACCCCAAAACAGGAACAGGTAGTCCTCGACTTATAACCATTCATTTAGTGACTGTCCAAAGTTACAACAGTACTGAAAAAAGTGACTTATGACTGTTTTTCACACTTACAACAGTTGCAGAATCCGCATGGGCACACGATCAAAATTTGGACACTTGGCAACTGGCTCGTATTTATGACGGTTGCAGGGTTCTGGGGTCATGTGATCCCCTTTAGCGACTTTCTGACAAGTAAAGTCAAAGGGGGAAGCCAGATTCACTTCAAAACTGCAGTGATTCACTTAACAAATGTGGTAAGGAAGGTCGTAAAAAGGGACAAAACACACTTCATAACCATCTTGTTTAGCAATGGAAACTTGGGGCTCAATTGTCGTCGTAATTTGAGGATGACCTGTACTTAGAAATCTCCGTCCAGTCACAGGATCGATTGTATAATCAGGATTTCACCCTGCAAAACTCAATGAAGCTCGAGCAACAGCATGCTCTGCACATGCTCAGAGGAACAGTTTTGCAAGATGACCTCAATTTGAAAGGGATATATATCCAGATGTATATCTTATGTGTTTACTTCTGTGGGTATGGGTGTGGGTGTGGGTGTGACTTTTCTGGGTGTGGGTGTGACTTTTTTGGAATGCAATGGGTTTCTTGCAGAGATTGTGATGATTGCCGTTAAGATAAGTCACATTCCAACAACACACATAGACACCAATACCCACAGGGTATTCTCTGAAACATTTTTTTTTATTTTTGAAGGACTCTGCAGACAGAATACACTGTGGCCGTGATACGTGACGGACATTAAACAAGGCACAGCTTCATGGATGGCATTGGGGACGCCCATTTTGACTATTCTGACCTTCTGCAAATACCTCTGAAAGCTTCAGTAAGTGATGACAGGCGGTTTAGGGAAGAAAAGAGGGGAAAAACACCACTTCTAGGAAGATTTTGGTCTAATGCAGGCTAGAAAGCAAGACATCCTGAGTTCAAGTCCTGCCTTAGGCATAAAAGCCGACTGGATGACTTTGAACCAATCACCAAGAAATTGAGAATTTTAATCCTGCATTAGGCATGAAAGCCAGCTTAATGACTTTGGGGCAGGCACCGGGAGACTGGGAGTTCTAGTCCTACCTCAGGCACGAAAGTCAACTAGGTGACTTTGGGCCACTCACAGGTGACAATGAGTTCTAGTCCTATCTTAGGCGTGAAAGTCAGCTGGGTGACTTTGGGCCAATCACCAGGAGATGGTGAGTTCTAGTCCCACCTTAGGAACAAAGACCGGCTGGGTGACTTTGGGCCAATCACTCTCAGCCCAGCCCAGGACTGGCATTTCCGTTGCTAAACAAGGCAGTTGTAAGCAAGTGGCACCCGATTTTGCAATCTTTTTTGCCATGGTGGTTAAGCGAATCTCTGCAGTTGTTAAATGAACCATGGGGTCGTTAACTGAATCAGGCTTCAGAAGATCACAAATGGTGATCACGTGACCCCCTGCAACCGTCGTAAATACATGCCAGTTGCCAGGCACCCAAAGTGTGTTCACATGACCCTGGGGATGCAACAAAGGTCATCAGTGCAAGCAAAGGTCATGTTCCTTTTTTCAGTGCCATTGGGACTCCCAATGGTCGCCTAACAAATGGTCGTAAGTAGAGGACTATGTGTATAGAAGAAATGCTGAACTTCCTTCTTGAATGGATGCTAAGTTTCGAGGAACTGTTTCATGCATAAATTTCCCATCGCATTTTATTCCTCTATAGCAGGGATGTCAAACTCACAATGTCACGTGACGTGTCGCGACGTATCGTGACTTTTTTTTGCCATTGCTGGCAATAGGGTGGGCGCGGTTTTGCCATGACGCATCTGGCCCGCAGGCCGATAGTTTGACACCCCCGCTCTATAGGGACACCTCAAATACATTTGGTTCATAGCCCAAGTGACAATTAAAAATTGGAGGGGGGGGGGAAAATTACTTTGAAAAAAACCACAACAAAAGAAATACAATGCCATTGACTTTTTATTGATAGAAAATTGAGTGTCGTTGCAGTTGACATCTCGTCTCTGAATTTGTTTACTCTTTCAAACAATCTGTTTACTTTCCACCAAGAATACCTAATCTAGCTGGTTCATCAACACAAAGGTTACTCAGTGTAAATTCTTATTATTGCTTTATAAGAAATCCCAACATTTATCTACAGATTGTAAATCCCACATGGGCAAGAATTTTTTTCCCCCCCTGGGATGCACCATAACATTTCAAAAAGTTCTTTTTTAAAAAATGTCACAAATATCCAGTGGTTGAAAATTAAAAAAAAAAAGCTGATCAAGAGAAATGTAAGTTATTTTTTTTGTTAGTTACTGCTCAGTCAAATCATTAATGAACATTTCTGCATTTGTTTAATGAGCTTCCTTAAAATTTCCACGTTTTACAAAGTCCATAATTTTGTGTTTCTAAATGTATGCTGACGAATCGCATAATTTTCTGCAGAGGTGGTTGCAGATCTTAAAATGTTGATAACTGGCAAAGTTAAAAATGCACAGACACCACAATGAAACCATGTAAAGAATAATCGAAAAAGGGGTTTTGCGAAATGAACAGGACTGTTTGAATGAAATTTGCCCAAGATCACAACTAACAAATATCCAGCCTTCTAAAACGCTTTGTGATATGATGTTTGCAGGTAGTCCTCAACTTATGACCACAATCGAAGCCAAAATTTCTGTTGTTAAGGAAGACATTTGTTGAGTGAGTTTTGCTCTGTTTTACGACCCTTCTTGTCACAGTTATTAAGTAAGTCAGTGCAGTTGTTAAGTTAGTAACATGGCTGTAAAGTGGCTTCCCATTGACTTTGCTTGTCAAGTCACAAAAGGTGATCACATGACCCAGAACGTTGCAACCATCAAAAGTACATGCCAGTTGCCAAACGTCTGAATTTTGATCACGTGATCACGGGGACACTGCGACGGTCGTAAGCATGAAAAATGGTCAGGAGTCACTTTTTTCAGTGCTGCTGTAACTCTGATCATTAAAAGAATGGTTGTAAGTCAAGGACTACCTGTATTCAAGGCAAAAATGCTTGCCAGACTAAAAATGACAAATGTTGGGTGATCTTCAGAAAGACCCCCATTTTTAGTTGGAGAAGACCTTCTCAGCAAGGTGAGAATACTCTATTCTCCATTTGTGGTTCAGGTAAATCTGTCAATGAAGGATGAATTATGAAGAATTATTCAGCCATTCATCTAACTCACTCATCCATAAATTGGTATTGTTTTTATTTGTGTTAAGAACTTGCCAAACCAGATGGTATTGGAAGGACAACGTCAAAAATAATTGGAGTTATTGTTTGTGAGAACCAACAAGGAGCCACCTATAACAAAACATATTTATCCAATATAATTTTCATTTTAATAAAAGGAAGCGTGTCAAGAAAGATTGAACAAAGTATTCGGTCAACATTTTGGCACCAACCCAATGTGTTTTGGGATCAGCAAGAAATTAGCAAAAATCAAAATACAAGCCAGAAGTCCCTTAAATGGATTTATTGTCTGCATTTAAGCTCCTGGTGGTGTCACTTCTGTCAGTGGGATTAAAACTGATTCAGTGAAATAATTCTCATAACTCTTGTAACAGAATACAGTTAGTCCACGACTTATGACCACATTTGAACCCAAAATTTCTATTACTAAGCAAGACATTTGTTAAGCTAATTTTGCCCCATTTTATGACCTTTCTTGCCACCATTGTTAAGGGAATCACTGCAGTTGTTAAATTAGTAACACTGTTGTTAAGTGAATCTGGCTTCCCCATTGACTTTGTTTGTCAGAAGGTTGCAAAAAAGGTGAATCATGTGATTCCAGGACACTCCAACCGTCATAAATGTGAACCAGTTGCCAAATATCCGAATGTTGATCATGTGACCTTGGGGATGTTGCAATGATCATAAGTGAAAAAAATGGTCATAAGTCACTTTTTTTCAGTGCCATTGTAACTCTGAACAGTGACTAAATGAACTGTTGTAAGTCGAGGACTACCTGTGCTACATCTCACTGAATTTTTTCAGAAGTTGCAAAAGAAAGGAATTAGAATTGTTAAATTCTGAACTGCCTTTTTTGTAAACATCAGCAGTTTTGTATCATCCATTTAAGAAAACATCAGCAGTTTTGTATCATCCATTTAAGAGAAAATAACCATAATTTAATCTCGTCTCACTAATGATGTTTTAGTTTTATTGCACCTCAGTGCCTTATAATGGAATGGTGTGCTATTTTTTAATACAAAATGCGGGGGGGGGATTACAAATCAAAGATTACATTATAGCTGGTACTGACAGAAGTGTTCCCTTGCAAAACATCAATTTTGTGGTACGTCATTATTTTCTAGTATTTTATTTTTTTAATTGTAGTTTCTCCATTCAGATTCTTGTTCTTCTCTTTGGTAAAGGCGTTGATGGTTGCTGAGGTTGATGTTTACATTTTTTTTAAAAAAAATTTTTGTTCATCATGGTTAAGAGATCTGGCACTAATTTCTCGTTAACTTTGGGAAGGATCGTCCTTCTTGATGTGGAACGTGACCGTTTCTCCGACAGAGGTGCTGTAGCTTCGAGTGGACACTTCGGTTTTGAAATTGGACGCGCCACTGTCTGGGGACAACTGGACTTGTGTACAGAAAGTTGGTCGGTGGGACTCGCCAATTTGGAAAGAAACATTGGTGGGATCTCTAGGTTGCGTCTCGGTCACTCTGGATGCCGACATGAAGATACTTCCAGGTTGACGGCCTTCAAATTTGCTAAAAAAGGTTTGTCTGGATTCAGAAACCACGGGTCTTCCAACGTTCAGTAACACTGGTTTGCCGACGGTGGGTTTGTTGATCTCGGTCTGGAGAACCGCAATCTCGCAAGGTTTATCTTCTTCGGAATTAAGATGGCTGCATCTGTAGGTCTCTCCTTCTTCAGGGACATAATCTTCAAGGTCCTCCAAAGTTAATGCTTTCCCGTTCCGAGTAAGGATTTTGACTTCACGATTGCCAAGATCGGAGAGGTCTCCCCGACTGGGGTCATCTACTATTGTTTTTTGATCTGGAAGAGTCTCGTCTTCTGGAGATGACTTCTCCACAACATAGTCCTCAACCTGGGGGAGCTGAAGGCCCATCTGAGATGTTTCAACCGTGGTAGCCTCAGATGAGTCAGTCTGGCGTCTGGACTCATGAAGATGTCTCTTTCCTTCTAGCTCCACACAAGAACTTTCATTTTGGTTTCCCTTTGGTCCTCCAGATGTTTGAACATCTTGGGAGATGGGTGATTCAACCTGCTCGACTCGTTTGTTGTTGGAATTATTCACATTTGGGTCATCTTCAGAGGGAGGCCTGGGTCTTGTGGTGGGCTGAGGATAGCCTGACCCAAATTCCTCCTTCTCGGATCGCGCGGGCGATATGCTTCTCTTCCTTGACACCTGGGTTGGTTTTTGCACATTAAATTCAATTATTTCTTCCACTTCTACCCACTTCCGTTGTTCTTCCAGAGGGGTTTCTACACTGATACGCCTGCCTGCAACTCCTGGCCTCTCCTGAGGGTCTGTCACAAAAAGAGTAGGAATGGCAGTCTTCCCTACTCCTTCTGGGTCGTGCCTGGGACCGGGTTGCCTAATCTTGCTGACATAAATCGGCTCCGATGTTGCGAACTCCGAGCCCGGAGAGCGAGGAGCGTAGCTGGAAGATGGACGGGCGGGAGATGGCTTTCGTTTGGTCCTCGGGTTTTTCACAACAGTGGTGATGGTTTCCTCTCTGATGGTGAAAATGTTGGAGATTGGGGTTGGGTGAGAAAGGAAAAGTCTATAGAAGAGAGTACTAGGAACTCAGGGTTGAACCGGGGGATCCTTGATACTCTCTAAGCTTGGAGTTTTCGTGCAGACAACTCATGACCCAACTAGGTAACATCATCAGGGCTAGAAGGAAGGGGCTTTGTGAGGAGGAGGAGGAGGAGGAGGAGGAGGAGGAGGAGGAGGAGGAGGCCATCAATGACTGTGGGCTCCTTGGTGTTTTCTGAGCTTGGTTGTTTTCTAGCAGACATTTAATGATCAAACTAGGAATCATCATCAATGCTGACATTCCTTAATAGAGTCATGAAACGTCTGCAAGAAAAAACTCCAAGCTCAGAGAGCACCAAGGACCTCCTCCTCCTCCACTCCGCAACCCCCCTCCCTTCTAGCACTGATGACATTCCCTAGTAGGGTCACGAAACGTCTGCAAGAAAAACCACCCAGCTCAGAGAGGATCAAGGATGTTCCCCAATTCTCAATCCATGGGAATGCACGCTACATCACAGGTTAATGCAAAAATGAAGCACAGCAGGGTTAGTTTTGAGAGCTTCGGGTGCATGCAGAAATTACTGCTTGAAAGGGTTGTTGCTGTTGTTTTTTTTAATCCTCACCACCAGCATGTCTCCATTTCAGAAGTCTCAATTCCCTTCAGCTCCCTGAAATTATTTTCAGTGTAGAAAAAAAAAAAGACCACCTTCTGAACTATTTCAAAAGATAGAAGAGGGTTGAGCTGTGGGGTCCATGGTGCACTTTGAACGTAGTTGTTTCCTTGCAGACATTTCATGACCCAACTAGGCTGCATCCTCAATGCTAGACTGATGATGTTACCTAGTTGGGTCATGAAACATCTGCAAAGAAACAACCCAGCTTCTGTTTCAACAGAGTATTTTTCTAAATTGGAGGGAGGAAGAAGGAAAAATATTATAATTCCTCAATTCTCATGCAGGCCACTTGGCACTTGAGTTCAGTAAAGAAGCTGAGGACACCTTGCTGTAATCTCAAGAACTACAGGTAGTCCTCGACTTATGACCCCAGTTGAGCCTAAAATTTCTGCTGCCAAGCGAGACAGTTCTTAAGTGAATTTCGCCCCATTTTACAACCTGTCTTGCCACAGTTGTTAAATGAATCACTGCACTTGTTAAGTTAATAACGCGGTTGTTAAAGGAATCTGGCTCCCTCATTGGCTTTGCTTGCCAGATGGTCGCAAAAGGGGATCAAGTGACCCTGGGGACACGGCAACCGTCATAAATACCAGCCAGTTGCCAAGTTTCTGAATTTCGATCACCTGATCATGGGGATGCTGCGATGGTTGTAAGTGTGAAAAACGGTCTTACGTCAATTTTTTTCAGTGCCGTTGTAAATTTTGCTCGTAGAGTGCAACTCAAAATATTCTCAGTAAAAAAGGGGTATCCTTTTTGCAATCAAATTTAAGAAAGTAGCATTTGTGTTGGCAAGGAACCATATGGAATATGGAAATGTTTAGTTAGCAACAGAAGCAAAAAAGCATTGACAAGGATTGAGAGGATCTAACAATCCTTACTGAAAGCTAGTTGCGTTATGATGAAGAGAGAGGCCTGATCTTCCCCTCCTATCTTAGCCCTAAAAGCCATTCCAGAGCGTCTTTGCTTCCAGTGAACTTGCCAGCATGACAAGAGAAGGACAGATTGTGTTAAAAGCTGCATCTGAGGTCTTTTGACACCTGGAGGGAGGATCAAAAGAGGTCAAGAGGGCAACTGCAGCCAGATTTTCTGCATGTCCGAAAGAGCTTCAACTGCATGCTCACTACAGAGGTCATCTTGACTCTTTTGACTCCCAGGTACAAGACGGTCCTGGGTTGCCTTCTTCCAGGAAGGAAGGAAAAAGGGGAGGGAGGGAGGGAGGGAGGGAGGGAAGAAAGAGAATGAAGAAAAGAATTAATGAGGAAGGAAGGAAGGAAGGAAGGAAGGAAGGGGGGAGGAAGGAAGGAAAAGTGGAGGGAGAAAGGGAGAGAAAAAGGAAAGAAAAAGTGAAGGAAAGGAAGGAAAAAGTGGAATGAGGCAGGGAGCAGGGAAGGAAGGAAGGAAATAGTGTAGGGAGGGAAAAAGGAAAGGCTGGAAGGCAAGAAAGAAAGGAAAAGGGAAGGAAAAAGGGGAGGGAGGGAGGGAGGGAGGGAGGGAGGAAGGAAGGAAGGAAGGAAGGAAGGAAGGAAGGAAGGAAGGAAGGAAGGAAGGAAGGAAGGGGAAAGAGAAACAGACGGGCTAGCAGTTAGAAGATTATTAAGAGCTCTCTACCTTTACTTTAATGCAGTAAATTGTTGTATGCCAGGGAAGAAAAGTCAATTAAATTGCCAATTTCTCCTTCCTCAGTACGATTAATCGTGGGCAGAGATAAAGAGAAACGGGCAAGATGGCTGGTCCTTCCAAGGCAGCTTTGCACACAGTCTGTCTTGTGGAATTAGTGCAGTGCCAAGCTGAATATCTGTGGTCCCTCCCTGACTTTGGCCTGCTCAGACCTCATAATTTACATCTGGTCTATCTCAGGAAGATTGTGAAACAGACAATCACACCTCCAGCAGTTTTGTCCCCTGGCCTATTTTTCTCCTAATGCCACTAGACCCGATAGTGTGGCAAGAAACACTTTTGCACAGCCAGTAAATACAGGTAGTTCTCGACTTATGACCACAATTGAGACGGGTGCCTTCATTGCTAAGCCTGGTGGTTGCTCAGTGAGTCGTTCCCCCATTGTATGACCTTTATTTTTGTTGCATTTCCTTTGCCACGGCTGTTAAGTGAATCACTGCAGTTGTTAACTGAACCAGGCGGACGTTAAGGGAATCCAGCTCCCGCCCCACCCCCCCAGACATTGACTTGGCTGGTCAGAAGTTTGCAAATAGCAATCATGTGACCCCGGGATGCTGCAACCGTCGTAAATACATGCCAGTTGCTAAGCACTCATATTTGGATCATGGGACCATGGGGGAATGCTGCAGTGGTCATAAGTGCGAGGAATGGTTGCCAGTCACTTTTTTCCAGTGACCTTGTAGCTTAGCATGGTCGTTAAATGAAGGGTTGAAAGTCAAGGACCTCCTCTATAGGTTGATTATGGAGACATGCAAAGAGGCAGCACAGCACAACACAAATGCTAATTTATATATATATATATGCGTATATATGACTTACATGATGATGGTTTTCTTAGGCACTTTAGTTTCTTGTTCAGTGACTACAAAGAAAACAGTATGAACAGCATGGTGTTAAAAAAAAGGCAGAAGCTCACAATCACATTGAATTTGTTATGCAAATAAAAGAAATTTAAAAACCTGGAGTGGAAAGAATGGAGAGGAAAAATAAAATTAACACAATCCCACGGTTGTTTTTTCCGAGACTGCAACCAATTTTGGCAAACTCTGATAATTAAATCCACAAATCACTTAAACTGACCACAGATGAACGTTTACACTGCCTTAAACCTGGTTAAAAGCTGATTTCCAAACTTAAAATCTTAATAAGGATTAAATGTAATTGGGTTGGACTGAAAGGAAAACATTTTTGGGTTATAAAGAGAGAGATAATCCTCGACTTATGACCGCAATTGGGACTGGAATGTCTGTCGCTAAGTGAGGTGGTTGATACGTGAGTTCTATCCAATTTAATGATCTCTTTTGCTGTGCTTGGTGAGCAAATCCCCATGGTTGTTAAACGAATCACATGGTTGTTAAATGAATCTGGCTTCCCCCATTGACTTTGCTTTCAGGAGCCAGCAAATGGTGATCATGTGGCCCCAGGACACTGCGACCGTCATAAATATGAATCAGTTGCCAAGTGTCCCACTTGTGATCATACGAATTAGGATGCTGTGACGATCTTCAGAGTGATTATGTTACTTTTTTCAAGACATTATAATTTTGAGCAGTCGCTAAATGAACAGTCGTAAGTCGAGGACTACCTCTGGCTAGAGTGGAACACAGAGATTTGGCATCTGAAGGGATTTCCCATCACTCTGCAGTTCCAAATTCCCCAAAAATGATGGAAATGGCTTATTTTAAGTATGAAATAAATGTTTTACAGTAATAATACAGGGAGTACTCGATTTATGACCACAACTGAGCCCAAAATTTATGTAGCTAAGACAGATGTTAAGTATTAAGTTGTTAAGGCAAGAAGTTTTGCTCCATTTTACGACCCTTTTTGCCACAGTTGTTAAGTGAACCATTGTAGTTGTTCAGTTAGTAGCACGATTGTTAAGTGAATCTGGCTCCCCCATTGACTTTGCTCGTCATAAGGTCGCAAAAGGGGATCACGTGACCCCGGGACACAGGGACCGTCATAAATCCATGTCAGTTGCCATGGGTCTGAGTTTTGATCACGTGACTGTGGGGATGCTGTAATGGTCGTGTGAAAAACAGTCATATGTTACTTTTTTCAGTGCTGTTGTAACTTGAACGGTCACTAAACAAATGGTCATAAGTTGAGGACTACCTGTAATTGTGATGAAGTTGAAACAGTTCAAATTGGAAACCTTGTGCTTGCTCCTTGACTGTGAATGCAATGTCCTCACCCCAAATTTGTAGATTTCTTTGTTGTTGTGCTAGTCTACTTGTTAAGGAAGCACAGAGTGGGGAAAGAAAGAAAGAAAGAAAGAAAGAAAGAAAGAAAGAAAGAAAGAAAGAAAGAAAGAAAGAAAGAAAGAAAGAAAGAAAGAAAGAAAGAAAGAAAGAAAGAAAAAGACTGAGCAAGTAAATGACAGATAATCAGCATCTTAAGTGATTTGTGGATCACAATACAAGGTTGCTTCACTAATACAGCTCGGAATGTCAGGGCACCTATATCACAATTGTTGATTTGGCATACAGGTAGTCTCCGACTTACAACCCACAACCGGGACCTGAATTTACTGAGCCAAGTGGTTGTTAAGCGAGTCACTCCTGATTTTATGACATTTTTTGTCATGGTTGCTAAGCCAATCACCACAGTTGTTAAGTGAACTGCAGGCCATTAAGCAAATCCGGCTTTTCCCATTGACTTTGCTTGTCTTAAGGTTGCAAGTGGCTATCGGGTGATGCTGCGAAACTTCGGAAATACACGCCAGTTCCAAGCATCTGAATTTGGATCACGTGACCGCAGAGCAATGGTTTGTAAACACCGGGACCGGTTGCCAGCCATTTTTGTTCACTTCAAACGGTCACGAAATGGATGGTTGTAAGTCGAGGACTACCTGTGGTTGTATCCCGATTGCTTTCCACGTTAGATTTTCATCTGCTTCGAAAGCTTTTCCATCCAGACAATTGCCGTTGTGAGAAAAGGCGTTGCGTTGGGTGTCCTCTAAACATGCCATTAGTATATTAATGTGATGGGGTTTTTTTTATAATGGTCTCTTTCACGTTTTGCAGTAAAGCCAAACCAGCCATTCTAGCTTCTGCTAGAATTATTTTTTCCCCAAAAAGAAAAAAGAAAGAAAGAAGAGAGCACGCTATAATGCCTTTCAAAATGTGAATTACAAGTAGTCCTCAACTTACAACCAAAATTGGTCCTAACATTTCTGTTCCTAAGTGAGACATTTGCCCCGTTTTATGACCTTTCTTGCCACGATTGTTAAGTGAACCACTGCAGGTGTTGAGTCAATAGCACGGTCGTTAAGTGAATCTGGCTTCCCCATTGACTTTGCTTGTCGAAAGGTCGCAAAAGGGGATCACGTGAGTTTCCCCAGGGGACGCTGTGACCATCATAAATGCGAGCCGGTTGCCAAGGGTCTGAATTTGGATCCCTTGACCATGGGGACGCTGAAACGGTTGTAAATGTGAAATACTGTCATGTCACTTTTTTTCAGTGCTGGTGTAAGTTGGAACGATCACTAAATGAACTCTTGTAAGTCGAGGACTACCTGTATGAAAATAATTTATCCGTTTAAATCGTGTTCAATAGAATATATTCAAGTTCTCCTGTTTAGTCTAGAAAGGCATTTAAAAACTGGGATATCTCTGCAGGGGGAAAAAATCAGTTTATTAGTCATGAATATCTCACTGAAACCCTGCTCCTTTTTATTGTGTGTCACAATAAATGCAAAATAAATAAATATGCTTTGATTGCTCTATCAGGGATACCATCTTGACTCTTTTTGACCCCTTTTGAGGATGCTGGGGTTTACAAAGCACCGTTAAACCTGTAACAAAACCTCAACAGCCCTGACATCATTTTAGATGAAAGCAAAACAGGTTGAATAAAATGTTCCCAATGATAATCTCCAGGGAAAGATTGAAGTCAAACGAGGTCCAGGCAGAAGAAAAACATTGTAGCTTCAAAATCTAAGGGATTGCAGCGCTTTTTCGTGCGGCTGCTGATAAAAACAGGATCGCCAACATAATCACCAACGTCCGATAATGGATATGGCACAAGAAGAAGAAGAATGATTATCTTATTGTTTTATTATGTCTGAAAGTCTACGTTTCTGAGACAGAAGCAAAGCCAAACACCAGGATGTAATGGATTAGCGTGCTGAATAGGACATGATTATTATTTTTAAAAATATTACCTATTTCAAAATGTAATATTCCACGCATTCTTAAATAGAGATAATCCTCAACTTACAACCGCAATTGAGAACGGAACATTCTTTGCTAAGTAAGTTGTTATGTGAATCGCACCAAATTTTATTATCTTCATTTTTGCTGCAGTTGTGAAGTGAATCTCCATGGTTGTTAAGTGAATCAGGTGGTTGTTAAATAAATCTGGCTTCCCCCTTGACTTTGCTTGTCAGAAGGTTGCAAATGGTGATCACATGACCCTGGGACACTGTATAACTGTCATAAATAGGAGTCAGTTGCCAAGTGCCCAAATTCTGATCACATGACTGTGAGGATGCTGTGATGGTTGTAAGAGCAAGGACTGGTTGTAAGTCATTTTCTTCAGTGCCATTGTAACTTTGAACAGTCACTAAATGAATGGTTGTTAAGTTGAGGGCTAACTATATGAGATGGGGCTATATACTTGTAGTCCTCAATTTAGAACCGTTTATTTAGTGACCATTCAAAGTTACGACAACACTGAAAAAAGTGACTTATGACCGTTTTTCACATTTACAGCCCCATGGGTCATGTGATCAAAATTCAGACCCTGGGGAACTGGTTCATATTTATGACGGTCGCCGTGTCCTGGGGTCACGTGATCCTCTTTTGTGACCTTCTCACAAGCAAAGTCAATGGGGAAGCCAGATTTACTTAACAACTGTGTTACTAACTTAATATTTGCAGTAATTCACTTAACAACTGTGGAAAGGAAGATCGTAAAATGGGGCAAAACTCACTTCACAAATGTCTCGCTTAGCAACAGAAATTATGGGCTCAGTTGTGGCTGTAAGTCGAAGAAAATTGCATTTTAATCTTGTATTTTGTATTTTAAATTTTATGTCATATAGTATGCCTTATTTTAATTGTGAGGCTTCTGACGCAAATAAACAAACTTCAGCAAACTTTTTCATTTAACAAATCAGCTCCAGAACTGCAAGAAATCGGAACATTTGCATTCTTGCTACATGAATTTCTTAAGTGCATTAAAATAAACTAGTTTGTAAGTCTTCCTTTAATAAAACTGTGCTCCACCTGTCCCAGGAGGAATAAAATTCACTTTATCACACTACGATTTTTTAATCTCCTTTGCTTTCTAAAAGAAATAAAAGGATTATGTGGCATAGTAAAAGAGAATCTTGGAATTTACTCAGTCCAATTCATAACAAGAAGAGAAAATTAGAATTGCGCTGGCCATTTTTAAAGAATTTTTAGAACCCCTTTCAAAAAAAAAGATACGATGCTTCTGACATTTTAACAGCATTGAGCGTTGCAAAGCAGGTTAAAAGCTGTGGAGTTTGATTGCTCCAGCTTTTAGCAAATAACAAGGTAGGCTAGCAAAATTCAAATAATATAGGCCGATGAGACGAAGTAAAACAAAATTCGATTCTTCAACAGGCAGAGGAGATGGTATCCAAGCCAGCTTTATTATCTTTCCTGTTCCGTTTCCCCTTCAGAAGCAAAGTGCCATTTGCATGATACAGGTACCCCAAATTACACCAACATTTATTGATTTCTTACTCGACAAAAGAAATTTCAAATTAATTCCATCACAGGGTATTAATGGAGGAACGCGGACGTTCTTTCTAAAACACGGATAAGAAATTTACTACGAACCGTATTTTAAATTAAATTATAATTTGTATAATGTATAAACAAAATTTAAATTTCCAGTTTAGTCGCCACAAGTGAAAAAGTCAGACGTCCCCACACGAAGTAGCAGAATAACAGAATTGGAAGAGGCCTTTAGTCCAAACTTCTGCTCAAGAGGGAAGCCCTATAACACTTCAGACGAACGGTTGTCCAGTTCAAGCATAAACTACAGAGACAGACTCAATTAAAAAGATTAAATTCCTGAATACCATGACTCCAGGAATTTTTTTTTATCTACAAATAGTCAGGTTGGTCTAGTGATTAAGACACCAGGCTAGAAAACAGGAGACTGTGAGTTCTAGTTCTGCCTTGATTTTGGATCAATCGCCAGGAGACGTTTTCTAGTTCCACATTATCCATGCCAGCCAGATGGGGTTCTGGGCCACACAAGAGAAGTCTGGGAATTCTAGCGTAGCCTTAGGCATGAAAGACAGCTGGGTGACTTTGGCCCAATCACCAGGAGACGGTGAATTCTAGACCTGCCTTAGCCATGAAAGCAGGCTGGATAACTTTGGGCCAATCGCCAGGAGACAGTGAGTTCTAGTCCCACCCTAGTCTTTAAACCCAACTGGGTGACCTTGGGCCAATCACTAGGAGACAATAAGTTCTAATCCCATGCTAGGCATTAAACCCAACTGGGTGACCTTGGGCCAATTTCTAGGAAACAGTGAGTTCTAGTCCCACCCTAGGCATTTAACCTGGCTGGGTGACCTTGGGCCAATTACCAGGAGACAGTGAGTTCTAGTCCCCTGCCTTAAGAAAGAAAGCAGGCTGGATGACTTTCGACCACTCATCAGGAGACGGTGAGTTCTAGTTATGTGTTAGATATGAAAGGCTCTTTCTCAGCCCAACCTACCTCACAGGGTTGTTGTTGTGGGGAAAATAGGAGAAGGAAAGTGTGTCAGATATGTTCTCTGCCTTGAGTTATTTGTAAAAAAAAAAGTGGGGTACAAATAAATATCAGTCTGAGACCTCTAACAAACTGTCAGCTGAAAAGAAAGAAATGATTTTTAAACCAGGTTTCCTCTTTGCCAAGGATAACTGTAAATCACCCCTTTAGCAGCAGCTAACACAACCCTTCAAATGTCGAAACCATGCCGCTTTGTGGTGCCATTGTGTCATAATCTCTGCTGTAGATCCTTAAGTCGTGTCAAATGTGTGAGGATATCACAGTTCAGGTGTCTTTCCTTCCACTCTTTGCAAACACCCAGATTCACAATATCAAGAATGCTTTACTCTTCACAAATAATTCAATTCCACATTTGTTGCAGTAGCAAATCCTAACCGCCCCCAAACCCCAGAATTAGTAATACCTAGAACACTCAAGAACCTACTTTATTCACAGCATTATTAGACAGTTGTAGGCCTTACAACCTCCATTTCTCAATCTCAAAAAAAAAATGTCACTGAGGTAGTCTCAATTTAGTAGGAGATCTGGTTGATGTCATCATCTAGTATTTATTGGTATCTATCTTCACAGGGATAATGTTCCACGGGGGGGGGGGGGAGCCACCAGAGAAGGCCCTTCTTCTTCTTGATCCCACCAGATAAACAAGTGGTGGCGAACCTATGGCACGGGTGCCAGAGGTGGCACTCGGAGCCCTCTCTGTGGGCACACATGCCACTGCCCCAACCTTGCCTCCCCCCGCGACCCCCTCCTCACCAGCAGCCCCCCTGGAGGAGAGTCGCCTTTGAGCGTGGCCCACACGGAGCAGCGCAGCCAAGGACATGGCAGCCAGGCAGCGTAGACAAGACTCTGCCCTCACACCCCATCGGGCACAGTTGATGCTGCAGGGCGCGGGCAGAGGGTGTGGCCGCCATGGCGCTGCTGGGCTGCCTGGACGATCTGCGGCGGGCCCTGGAGGCGGTGAGTGGTCCTGTGGGTAGGCGGGGCGGGGGATGGGAGGCAGAGCAGGGGTGGGCAGGGGGGTGGAGCAGGGGTGGGGCCAGTTTTGGGGCACTCAATCTCTAAAAGGTTCGCCATACTGAGATAGACCTTCTTAAGAGAGGAGACCCATAACACACCCTGCCTCCCTGCTCTGGTGGGTCAGGTAGCTGTAACTGGAAAAAGATGGGCCTTTAAATAACAGAGAGGGAACCACCACAGAGAAGGCTCTTCTTCTTGGTCTGGCTGGGTGACTTGGGCCAGTCTTCCTCTCAGCTCAACTCACCTTACAGGATTGTTATTGAGGGGAAAATAGGAGGAGGAAAGTATGTTGGACCTGTTCACTGCCTTGAGTGATTTGTAAAAAAAAAAAAAAAAAGGGCGGGATATAAACAACTATATATATACAAATTCCATTTCATCCAACTTAAGATCTGAACAGAAGAACCTTAGTTATTGCCCAAGTTATGGAAGACTGGGAGAGTAAATCTCTGGGATCATAAAATAAACTTTGATTGGTCACAAGATGTTCTGTGTCTGATTCACATCACTGTTGTGGTTACTGAACAACTGATAGTGTTCCTTTCACTTGTGTAGTCTTACTAGGTGACTTTTCTGTGGAGGCACCGCCCTGAGGTGATCCACAGTGAGGCGTAGAATAACAGGGTTAGAAGGGACCTTAGAGGTCTTCTAGTCCAACCCCCTGATTGAGCAGGAGGCTGATAGACCTGGGCCTCTTCTGGCACAAAATAACAACAATACCGGACCAGGCAAACACAATCACTAACAAGGTCCCAACAACAAATAGGAATGCCACATCTTCTGAGAGATAAGACAATGCACCCATTCAGTCCTTAATTAGTCACAATTAGTCATCCTTAATTAACCACATCATGAAAGAGCACATCAACAGGGCCTACCTTCTATCGTTATCGCTTGCTCGGGTCTCTTCTCCGGAGCCAAGGCTGTTGTGGTTTGGCAGTAAAGGTGTGCGCCTCCCTTTGCAGTCCCCAACCTGTTTATTAACTGAACACAAGTTGACAACACTAGTTAGAACATGTGTGGATTTCAGATGAAGGAGAAAATCAAATCATTCACAAATCTAGACAAGGAATCACTTTGTGTAGGACATAGAATCATAAAGCTGGCAGGGACCTTGGAGTCCAGCCCCCTGCTCATGGCAGGAGAACTTATACCATCCTGGTCAAATGGTTGTCTGGTCTATTTTTGAAAATGTCCAGTGATGGAGCACACACAGCTTCAAGAGGCAAGCTATTCCATTAGTTAATTGTGGGTTAATTTCTCCTTATTTCTAAGTTGGATCTCACTTTAACTGGCTTGTATCCATTACAGGTAAGCCTCAACTTACAACAGTTCATTTAGTGACTATTCAAAGTTCCAATGGCACTGAAAAACCCCCCACTGAGCTTGGTGGTTTTCTTGCAGATGACCCAACTAGGTAACATCATCAGTGTTAGAAGGCCCTGCTCTCATTTTATGGCTTGCCCTGCCAGTGTTGAGGGAATCTTGGTGATTCCTTGATTAGGCTGTTGTTTTTTGTTAGCTTGTTCATGTAAGTTGGGCTTAAACAACTCAGGACAACTGAACTTGCTCAGCAGATGCAAGTCGGGTCTTCAGCCCAGATATTTTATGGAGAAAGTTCCTATCTCATAACAACTTAAGAAAAAAGAGAGAAACTCACCTCACACTCATATAAACCTTCATCATCCTCACAGGCATTTTTGATAACCAGGACAATCACTCCACTTCGTGGCTCACTGTAGCTCTGGTGTTTGTTTGGATCGGTGAGGAGGTTCCCATCTTTATACCATCTGGAATAAGGAGGAGGGAGGAGAGGAAAGAAGAGGGGAGGGGAGGGGAGAGGAAAAGGGGAAAGGGGAGGAGAAAAGAGAAAAGGGGAGGGGAAGGGAAGGGTGGGAGGGAGGAAGGAAGGAAGGAAGGAAGGAAAGGGAGGGAGGGAGGGAGGGAGGGAGGAAGGAAAGAAGGAAGGAAGAAAGGGAGGGAGGAAGGAAGGAAAGGAAGAAAGGAAGGAGGGAGAAAGGGAGGGAGAGAGGGAAGGAGAAAGGGAGGAAGGGAGGGAAGGAGAAAGGGAGGGAGGGAGGAAGGGGGAGGGAGGGAGGAAGGGGGAGGGAGGAAGGAAGGAAGGAAGAGGGAGGAAGGCAGGGAGAAAGGAAAGAGTAGAGAGGATAAAGGAATAATGGAGGGGAGGGGAGGGAAGGGAAAACAGATTTACAGAGGAGGGCATTGATATACAGGGGGGCAGTCACCCAACTAAGACCAGGGGTCCTCAAACCCGGCCCTTTTATGACTTGTGGACTTCAACTCCCAGAATTCCTCAGCCAGACACGTGTGCCTGGCTGAGGAATTCTGGGAGTTGAAGTCCACAAGTCATAAAAGGGCCAAGTTTGAGACCCCTGCCTAAGACAGACCAGAACTCACCCTTTCCCAGTGATTGGCCCAATACAGAGAATACAGATTTTTTTTTATATTCTTTCATGTCTTACCTATTCACAGAGTAGGACACAGTAAGACATGAAAAAGTAAAAACTGGAAGCAACAATAATTGTTATCTCTACGTGGTTCTCCTCCGCCCTTGGAAACAGCTTTCAGAAAGTACAGGTAGTCCTCGACTTACAACCGTTCCTTTAGCAACCCTTCAAAGTTACAGCGGCACTGAAAAAAAGCGACTTATAACTGATGCTCGCCCTTATGAACTTTGCAGTGTTCCCACGGTCACGTGATCAAAATCCAGGCGTTTGGCAACCGACATGCCAATTACGATGGTTGCAGTGCTTGGGGATCACACGATCCCCAATTTCTGACAAGCAAGTCAATAGAAGAAGTCAGATTCGCTTAAAGACCGTGTGATTCACTTAGCAACCGCCATGATTCCCTTAACAACACAGGCCAAAAAGGTTGTAAAATCAGGCACAACTCATTTAACAACTGCCCAACCTAGCCACGAAAATTCAGGTCCCAGTTGTGGTTGTAAATCAAGGACTCTGCACTCTAGAAAGCCTTTGCACGCTAGAAAGTCCTATTCAAAAACGCTGTGGAGCATGGGCTTGATTATTCTCTTACCTGATCTGGGGCCATGGTGCCCCTTCGATGGTGCAAGTAAACTGTGCGTCTGTGCCTTTGGCGTAATAGGCGTGTTTCACCTTGTTTACAAACCGTGGAGGCACTGGAAATTAAAATATACCATGAGGAAATTGTAAGCTTTGTGAAAAGAGAGATGAGTAAGTCAAATCCTCTTCTAAACCTACATGGTGCACCGAAGAGACATTCATTCATTCATTCATTCATTCATTCATTCATTCATTCATTCAGACAGACAGACAGACAGACAGACAGACAGACAGACAGACAGATAGATAGATAGATAATGGATAGATAAATACACGGTAGACAGAGAGAGAGAGAGAGAGAGATAATAGATAGATAGATAGATAGATAGATAGATAGATAGATAGATAGATAGATAGATAGATAGATAGATAGATACCGTCTTTATTATTTTTATAAATAATTCAAGGCAGAGAACATATCCAACATACCTCTATTTTCTCTACAACAACCCTGTGAGGTGGCTTGGGCACCCACCCAGCTTTCATGCCTAAGGCAGAACTGGAATTCACTCTCTCCTGGTGATTGGCCCAAAGTCACCAAGCCGGCTTTCATGCCTAAGATGGGACTAGAACTCCCAGTCTCCTGGTGATAGTCACCCAGCTGCCTTTTGTGCCTAATGTGGGACTAGAACTCACTAGGTGACCGAAAGCTGGCTTTCATCCCTAAAGTGGACTAAAACTCCTACTCTCCTGGTGATTGGCCCAAAGACACCCAGCCAATTTTCCTGCCTAAGATGGGACTAGAACTCACCATCTCCCAGTTTTCTAGCCTGGTACCTTCATCACTAGACCAAACTGGCCCTTGTTATATCAATATATCCTCCAGCAAACCTTGGAGAGAACACAAGTCTCTTCTCTTGGGCCTTATTCTTAAATTGGGTTTAATTTCTTTCCTTCCTCTGCACAGTTGACTTGTGGGGTCTCTCATGCTGTGCGTTTTGTAGTGTTATGTGACAATCTCCACTTTCTGTGTTTCCCCATCACACACTAACAGCCCTGCTAGCGGGTTGGATGCATTTTGGGAGCAGGACTAGTGTGTGGAACAATGAAAGACCTTACATACTTCTCTCTGGACCTCCAAGGTTGCCTGTGTATATGTGTGTATTTGTGTGTTTGTGTGTCTGTTTGTGTAGTGCTGGTACCTTGGACGAGAATTTTCCCAAGGGTGCTGGCACTGCCGGCTGGACTAGATGCATAGCACAAATATTGCCCAGAATCCACTCCAGTCAAATTATCAAGGATCAATGTACAAGATCCATCGGGATCTTCGATGATGATGTGGTGAGGATCCACGTCGACCGGCTTCCCATCTGTAAAGCAAGAGATAAAAAGACACCCTTTGATGAACACGGGGCTGGATTCAGAGCTAAATAAGATTGTAAAATGGATTCCCTTTGTTTATTTTGACACACAGGTTGTCCTTGACTTACAACCAGAATTCCATTTGTTAAGGAAGGCAGTTGTTAAGTAAGTTGAGATTGATTTTACAATATTTATTTCTCTGATGAATTTATTTCCATATTTCTTTTGCCACAGGTATTCAGTGAATCCCTGCCATCGTTAAGTGAATCACACAGTCATTAAGCAAAGCCCATTAATCTGGGGGGGAAGGTTGCAAATGGCGATCGTGTGACCCCAGGATGTTGCAAATATTAAAAATGTAAGCTGATTGCCAAGTGCCCAAATTTTTACAATGTGATATTGTGATGGTCATAAGTGCGAGGACCAGGCATAAATCACCTTTTTCAGTGCCGTTGTAACTTGGAATGGTCGCTAAATGTATAATTGGAAGTCCAGGACTATCTGTAAATAATATCTTTGTTTGGCAGGCGTTCTGTTGTTTTATTCTTTCTGAATCGTTTTTATGCTATAATTAATATCCTTAATATCCTGGAATTAGCAGCTGACTAACAAGATAAGTTCATGTTAACATTAGCAGACAGTACAATATTATTATTACTGGGAAACAAACACAAGACAAAGGAGAAGAAGAATATACATGTAGTTTTCAACTTACAACAATTCACTTAGGGACCATTGGAAGGTACAGCGGTGATGAAAAAAGGGACTTAAGACTGTTTTTCACACTTGCATCCATTGTAGCACCCCCATGGTCCCCTGATCAAAATTCAAATGCTTGGCAACTGACTCATATTTATGACAGTTTCAGTGTCCCGGGATCACGCGATCTTCTTTTGTGACCTTCTGATAAGCAAAGTCAATGGGGAAGCTGGATTCACTTCACAACCGTGTGACTAACTTAACAACTGCAGGGATTCGCTTAACATTTGTGGCAAGAAAGGTTATCAAATGGAGCAAAATTCAACCTGTGTCTTGTTTAGAAATGAAATTTTGAGGCTCAGTTGTGGTCATAAGTTCAGGACGATCAGTAGTCTCCCTGTTCAAAATCGACCACTTTAATTTGACCTTCATTTTGGGAAAACTGAGGCTGGTTATACCTTTATACCAGGTGACACCTGGTTTAGGGGTGCCTGTGACTCGGCAGGCAAGCTTGACCGTTTCACCCAGTTCTGCTGTACAGTCCGCCAGTTCCTCCTCAAAATCGGGTGGATCTGAAACAGAAAAAAAAAAAAAATTGGATTTGAACCTGGGGTCTTGAGAAAGAAGGACTACATGAAAAAGCAGCAAAAAATCAATTTTAGGAACCGAAGCCCTGACTTCTACTCACCCCATACAGGGAGACTAATCCGTTGCTGAATACAACAGATTTCCTTCACCCACGAGTTTTTGATGATAACGGTCCGCGCCTGGAAGAGATATTTCCGGACCGAATCTTCCCGTTCATGCCAGATCTCAAACGCCCGATCGTCTCCTTCGATCACGTCGTTCACATCGATGTGGGACAGCTGAGGGACCAAAAATCAGGATTACAAGTTATCCAGGATCATGCTCACATTTGCAGTAGATCTTATATCTGTACAGAGATAGTCCTCGACTTACAACCACTGATTAGTGACCGTTTAAAGTTACAACGGCACAAAAAAAAGTGACTTAGGACCATTTTTCACACTTAGGACCTTTGCAACATCCCTGTGGTCATGTGATTAAAATTCAGAGATTGGCAACTGGCTCGTATTTATGACTGTTGCAATATCCTGGGGTCAAGTGATCCCCTTTTGCAATCTTCTGATAAGCAAAGTCAATGGGGAAGCCAAGTTCACTTAACGATCATGTGACTAACTTAACTATTGCAAGGATTTACTTAATAACGGTGACAAAAAGGTCATCAAATGGGGCAAAACTCACTTAACACTGTCTTGCTTAGCAACAGAAATCTGCGGCTCAGATGTGGTCGTAAATCAAGGACTACCTGTATAGTTGTCTGTCTGCCTACCTCCCACCTTTATTAGTTTTACAAATAACTCAAGGCAGCAAACACACCTAATATTTCCTCCTCCTATTTTCCCCACAACAACAACCTTGTGAGGTGGACTGGGCTGAGAGAGAGGGACTGGCCCAAAGTCACCCAGCCAGGTTTTACACCTAAGTTGGTACTTGAACTCACTGTCTTCTGGTAATTCATACAAAGTCAACCAGCTGGCTTTCATGCTCAAGGTGGGACTAGAATTCACCATCTCCTAGTGACTGGTCCATATTCACCCAGCTGGCCTTCATGGGACTAGAACTCACAACCTGATGCCTTAATCACCAGACCCAACTGGCTGCATTGCTGTGAGATCTAGGACCTCTGAAGCTACATCAAGGGAAAATTCAGTACCGTTCTGATTGCTTAACTTGGTTTTAGTTAGATACCCAAGAGGAGACAGAGAAAGCCAACCATTAATAAAAGACATATTCAACCTTCATCATGTTCTTGAATAGGTAACTGTAAGTATCCAACTTCGTGTCTCGTTTTGGCTTGCACACGAGCAGGTAACCCTTGAAGAGGAAGACGTGTCGCTTATGTCCCTTCCAAGCCATGCGGGCCCCCGGAGCGCCTTCCCACACAATGAATTGTCCCTGCGAAAAAAATAGCAAAACATGTGGCAGGGAGTTCCGCAGGCTTCATAAATCACATCATCAGAAAATTCTTTTGGTGCTCCAGCAAGAGTTTTGACCCTTTGCTTCTGGATCTGCCCTGTTGAGCAACAGACTGAATGATCCCTTCATGATTAGAGTTTGAGTTATTTGTCTGAGACCTCTAACAAACTGTCAGCAGAAAAGAACGAAAGGATTTTTAATTCTCTTTGCAAAGAAGAAACAACTCACAGCAACAAGCATATCCAATACACCTGCCTCCTCCTATTTTCCCCACAATGACAAACCTGTGAGATGGGTTGGGCTGAGAGAGAGGATTTGGCCCCAAGTTACCAAGCTGACTTTCATGCCTAAGGCAGGACAATAATTCATCATCTCCTGGTGATTGGTCCAAAGTCATCCAGCTGGCTTTCATGCCTAAGGCAGGACTATAACTCACTGTCTCCTGGTAATTGATCCAAGTCACCCAGCTGGCTTTCATGCCTGAGGCAGGGCTATAACTCACCTTCTCCTGGTGATTGGCTCAAAGTCACCGTTAGCTTTCATGCCTAAGACAGGACTAGAACTCACAGTTTCCTGGTGACTGATCAAACAGTCACCCAACCGGGTTTCATGCCTAAGCAGAACTAGAACTCACTGCCTCCTGGTGATTGGCCAAAATCACTCACCCAGCTTTCATGCCTAGGGCGGGACTACAACTCACCATCTCCTAATTATTGGCCCAAAGTCATCTAACTGGCTTTCATACCTAAGGTGGAACTAGAACTCACCATCTCCTGGTGTCTAGCCTGGTGCCTTAAGCACTAGACTAAACTGATTTTCTGATCTCACAGTCAAATGACTCTGGATGGCTGATTGCACCTCTATAAAAGAACATGTCGAGCAAAAAGCACCAGGATCAAAGTGAAAAACATATTTTTGGGGTTCAGCAGAAAGAGCCAGAGCCTAAACAGGAAGGTGTGTTGTGAGAACGAGCTTTCGTTTACCTGGCGGATGGGTTCCCCTAATATTTCCAGTGTTCCAGGGTAGTTCTCAATGAGAGAAATATGAAGGTTGTTTTCCGCTCGCCTGTTGAGTGCAGAAACAATGGCGTAGGCCTGTTCTAGGAGGGCACAGTTTTGAGTGTTCCTTGCTTTGTTTCGGATCATGTCCTGTGAACACAAGGAAAGGTACCGTTTGCATACTTTGTGGCCTAGCCCATGATGAATATTTGCAACAGAAATGTGGTTGAAGTGGAAAGGGAGGGAGGGAGGGCGGGAGAGAAGAAGGAAGGAAGGAAGGAAGGAAGGAAGGAAGGAAGGAAGGAAGGAAGGAAGGAAGGAAGGAAGGAAGGAAGGAAGGAAGGCTGTCAGTATTGATTATCAAGGAACAACTAAGACCATTCCCACCAACACTGACAGGCAAAACAACTAAATATATACAGAGAGAGCAAACCCTGTTCCCTTTTAGTACTGATGATGTCACCTAGTTGGGTTCATGCTATGTCTTTCAAGAAAGCCCCCAAGCTCAGAGAGTACCAAAGACCCCACAGTGGTCTTCCTCCTCCCCACAAACCCAACTCCCTTCTAACATTGATATTATCACATTGAGTCATCTGCAAAAAAACTGCCAAGAACCCCACCGTTCTTCTCCTTCTCCTACTCCTTCCTTCCTCCCACCCTCTCTTTTTCTTCCCTCTCTCGTTTTCCCCTTCCTCCCTCTCATCCTCCCTCTCCTACCTCCCTCCCATCCTCCTTCCTTCCTTCCTTCCTTCCTTCCTTCCTTCCTTCCTTCCTTCCTTCCTTCTTACCTACCTACCTACTTACCTACCTACCCACCTCCCTTCTTCCTCCTCCATTCTCCTCCCCCCCTGGCTACCAACCGACCTGTCCTCCCTAGCACCTGCCAAGAGCATTCATGCACCCCCTCCATAACCTGCATCTCTTAGCAACAACAACCCCAGTCCCAATTGCCATTTTAAACTGAAGACAATTTGTACAAATAATCCTCAATTTACAACCATTCCTTTAGCAACTGCTCAATGTTCCAGCCCCACTGAAAAAAAGCGTGGTTTCATAGCTACTCCTCGTATTTATGGCCATCATAGCATCCTCTCAGTGACCTGATCAAAATTTGGGAGCTTGGCAACTGGCATGTATTTACGATGGTTGCAGAGTCCTGGGGTCATGTGATCACCATTTGCGACCAGCCTACTTCTAACCAGCCAAGTCAAAGCAGGAAGCCAGATTTGCTTAACAACCACATGATTCACTTAACGACTGTCATGATTTGTTTAACAACCATGGCGATTGGTCGTAAATTTGGGTGGCACCCACTTAGCAATTGCCTTGCTTAGCAATGGAAATTCTGATCTCAGTTGTGGTTGTAAATTGAGGACTTCCTGTACTAGATTCCTCAGCAATGTGAGACCCAGTTGTTGCGCTACCAACAAGTTACTGAAAGTTGTGCTCCAACCTTGATTGCCGTTTGATATTTCTGGATCCGGGTTATGGGTCTCTCTAGGTAGTGTTGCAGAGGGAGGATCGGCGGCAGAGAAGGATCCTCACTGGCCAGCGTTCCCTCTGTGTATCGCTGGAGAGAGAGAAAGATGAGAGTCGGGGACTTGTTAACTCAGTTTGCTTATTGTCCAGGAAAACCATTAATTCCTTTACAAACCACACAATTTTTCTATTATTGCTCTAATAAGGAAGTAACTTTCTTCAATACAGGCACTTATTTAGCGTTTCAGCACCATACAAGGAGAAGGATCTTATCCACATATTGCTCTGCCTTGCTGCAAAGATGCACAATTCTTTATTTTCATCCTGCCTTTGTTTTTTTTTTAAAGTAAATAACTCAAGATGGCAAACATACTGAATATTCATTCCTCCTCCTATTTTCCCCACAACAGTCCCGTGAAGTGGGTTGAGTTGAGAGGGGGGGACTGGCTCAAAGACACCCACTGGCTTTCATGGCTAAGGCAGGACTAGAATTCACTGACTCCTGGTGATTGGCCCAAAGTCACCAAAGGCAGGACTAGAACTCACCATCACCTGGTGATTGAGCCAAGGTCATCCAGGTGGCTTTCATGCCTAAGATGGAACTGGAACTTACAGTCTCTTTGTCATTGGCCCAAAGTCACCCAGGCAGCTTTCATGCTTAAGGTGAATCTAGAACTCACCGTCTCCTGGTGATTGGTCCAAAATCACCAAGCCGGCTTGCATGCCTAACGCAGGACTAGAACTCCTGGTGACTAACTCAAAGTCATCTAGCCAGCTTTCATGACTTAAGGCAGAACTAGAACTCACTGTCTCCTAGTAACTGGCCCAAAGTCACCTAGCTAGCTTTCATGCCTAAGGTGAGACTAGAACTCACAATCTCCCAGTTTCCAACTTGGTGTCTTCATTACTACAGCGAACTGGTTCACCAATGTATAATAATGCTTGATGTACAAATATAGGACTGTTTCCAAAGAATTCTTGGACATTACACGTCAGGACAAATAGGTGTAGGTTAGTGAAAAGTCCAGCAGAAGACCCTTTCAGTTGAGGGTGACCTCACCTTATAAAACTCCTGGACCACTTTGCTGACCACAATGGATTCAGCTTGAACCCGGCCCACCAAGTAGGTGATGTATTTGTCAAATTCCCCTTCGTTTTTAAGGAAGCACATAGCCACATCGTCATCCGTGTCACATTTCTGAAGCTCTGGGAAAAAGGTGCTGCAAGAAAAAACAGAAAGGAGCATGAGAAGAGGATGTGGGCAGGGGGCTGGACTAGAAGACCTCTAAGATCCTTTCTATCCCGATGATTGTATGATATTCCATCTCCTGACAATTTCTTTTCCAACTAAAGCATCTTCCATCATTCAATTTAGCAGCAGTTAAACACAATCTGCCTCGCCTTGTCCAAATGCCTTCCTTAAAAGTCCACAGGGTCAAAAAAGTCAAAATGGTGAGAAATGAACTTAAAGCTCAACCGATTTTTATTCGTGCCATTCACATAAACCCTGAAAACAATCTTGAAAACAGTTCTTAAGACAACAGGATTAGAGAAACAAAGAAAAGATACATTGTTTTCCCAGGAAACAAGATTCTGAATGCTAACACTGAAAAGGCCCTGCATTTAAATTAGGGGGGGGTGCATCTTGGTGGAAGAAAGAATTAGACCTAATAGTTCCAATACAAGTAGTCCTTTACTTACAAGTTTGTTTAGTGACCACTCAAAGTTACAACAGTACTGAAAAAAGGGACTTATGACCGTTATGACCATTGCAGCATCCCCATGGTCACTTCCCAGTTGCAATGGATGGCTGTGAAAGTTGGACCATAAAAAGGCTGAGCGACAAAGAATGGAGGCCTTTGAACTATGATGCTGGAGAAGACTCCTGCGAGTCCCCTGGACTGCAAGGCGATCCAACCGGTCAGTCCTAGAGGAGATCAACCCTGACTGCTCTTTAGAAGGCCAGATCCTGAAGTTGAAACTCAAGTGCTTTGGCCACCTAATGAGAAGGAAGGACTCACTGGAGAAGAGCCTGATGCTGGGAAAGATGGAGGGCAATAGAAGAAGGGGACGACAGAGAATGAGGTGGCTGGATGGAGTCACTGAAGCAGGAGGCGTGAGCTTAAATGGACTCCAGAAGATGGTAGAGGACAGGAAGGCCTGGTGGAACGTTGTCCATGGGGTCGCGATGGGTCAGACACAACTTCGCAACTAACAACAAGGTCACTTGAATAAAATTCGGCTGCTTGGCAACCGGCCTGTATTTATGACAGTTGCAATGTCTTGGGGTCTTTTGTGACCTTCTAACAAGCAAAGTCAATGGGGAAGCCAGATTCACTTAACGACTGTGTGACTAACAGAACAATTGCAGTGATTCATTTAATGACTGTGGCAAGAAAGATGGTAAAATGGAACAAAACTCACTTAAGAAATGTCTCACAAAAACTTTGGGCTCAATGGTGGTCGTACATCGAGGGCTACACGTAAAGCAAAATAATAATAATGTGGATAGCATATCAGAGGACATTGTTTTATAAAACTTTGGTTGAGTGGATAGCAGCACACGGGAGGGCGGGGGGTTCCTATTAAACTACCTTTTCTAGTGTACTTTATTCTTTCAAAGCCATTTGGCTGTTATACTACATATCTGCCTCCCCGCTACGTACTTGGAATGGAAGTGCGTTATGTCAGTAATGTTTCTGAAAATAACGGGCTTCTGGTTGGACACAGCAACAGGAACGGCGGGGCAAGTCTCCGTGAACTGGATGTGGTGCGTTTGCAGGAACTGCAGATCCTTGACATATTCCTCTTCCGTGCCCAACAGATCTTGAACGATAAGGCTAAAGAGGAAGCAGAAACAGAAAAACGAGTGAAAATTCATAAAAACACACCCCATCCTTTGAAGGTGACCGTCGCGGAAATTCATTCTAAATTTCAACGGATAAGCATGAAAGCACAGGCAGTCCTTGACTTATGACCACAATCGATCCCAAAATTTCCACTGCTAAGTGAGATAGTAGTTAAGTGAATTTTGCCCCATTTTACAACTTTTCTTGCCACAGTTGTGAAGTGAATCCCTGCAGCAAAGTGAATCTAGCTTCTTCACTGACTTTGCTTGTCAGAAGGTCATAAAAGGGGACCACGTGACCCCAGGACAGTGTAACTGTCATAAATATGAGTCAGTTGCCAAGCGTCCAAATTTTGGTCATGTGAGCATGGGGATGCTGCAACGATCGTACAGTAAGTATGAAAAACGGTCATAAGTCACTTTTTTCAGTGCCATTGTAACTTTGAATGATCACTAAATGAACTGTTATAAGTGGAGGACTACCTGTGTAAGGGGTGGTAAGGGGATGCTGCCATGTGCCAGAAATGCAAACAGGCAGAGACCCTCTGCCCATGAGTCCCCCATTAACCTGGGGGCTTCTGGGATAACGAAAAGGCAGGAGTGACTTACAGGAGTGACTAGTGGCATTTCCTGCTGGTTCCCCAATGTCTTTGCTGATGGGATGCCAGCTGGAAAGATCACAAATGCTCTACTGGATCCTGCATGTGGTGGGGGGTTATACAAGATGATGTCTAAGTACCTTCCTATGCTGTGATTCTATGAAATTATTCTTATATATCACCAGCTGCAAGAGTAGGATACACGGCCTTTGAGGCAGAGAAGTAGTTTGCTCCAACAGGAAGGATTTTCACCAAGCTCACCTTAATTTCTTCCGGTATTCATCTTCTGAAACAAATTCTCCATGGAATTCTGGGACATCGGGGATACCCCACTCTGCAGAGAGCTAAAATTAAAAAAAAAACCAAAGATATAAGAGACTTCTGCCTTGGGCTAGACCAGAAGACCTCCAAGGTCCCTTCCAGATGTAGGTTTTTATGATTTAGTACAGGGATGCCCAACCCCCAGTCTGTGGTCCGGTACCAGGCCGCAGCATGCCAGCAACCGGTCCGCACAAACAAGCAAAGCCCCATCCATGGGATGCAGGCAGCACACAAAACCAAGCCTTTCTCCACGGAACCGGAGAGGTTGGGGGCCTCTGATCTAGTATCTGCCAAGAAGGGCTGTCCTTAAGACAGCTTCCAGGTCTTCCAACGGAGGTTATCAAACAAGGTGCAAAGGATGGGAAGTAGTTGGATTATAGCAGTACATGGGATCCCCTATCTCGACTTAGAAAGGTCTAGACTCTAGTCCAGGGGTCGGCAACCTTAAACACTCAAAGAGCCACTTGGACCCGTTTCCCAGAGAAAAGAAAACACTGGGAGCCACAAAACCTGCACACGCGCAAGGGGGACAAGCTTGATTGAAAAGTTTAATTAAAAAGAAATAGAGGGTGCTGCGCATGAGTTCTCCCTCCCTCCCTCCCTCCCCCTCTCTCTCTCCCCCTCTCTTTGTCTCCCTCCCTCTCTCCCTCCCCCCCTCTCTCTCCCTCTTTCTGATCTTCTGCTCATCCGGCAAGCTGGCTTCACACTGTTCTCCAACAAGCTGACACACATTCTTATTGGGCTGGCTCTCTCCTGCCCTTGGTTTGCCAGTCCTCTTCCCCCACTCAGTGAGAGAGAGGGAGAGAGAGAGAGAGAGAGAGAGAGAGAGAGAGAGAGAGAGAGAGAGAGAGAGAGAGAGAGAGAGAGAGAGATGCTGCTTTCTGTTGCTTCCTGGTGAGATACACCAAAGGTAGGAGCCCCGCTCAATAAACTTGTCAACTTGTCCAAAAACAGCATGAGGCCACTCTCTTTTTTACACAACACACACACACACACACACACAGAGAGAGAGACAGAGAGAGAGAGAGAGAGAAGGGAAGCACAAGTGCCTCTCTCTCTCTCTCTCTCTCTCTCTCTCTCTCTCTCTCTCTCTCTGCAAATGGTGGCTGGGAGCCACAGGAGAAGGCTCAAAGAGCCACATGTGGCTCCAGAGCCACGGGTTGCTGACCCGTGCTCTAGCCCATATGCTGTGCAGATGCTCCTCTAATCTAGTCCAACCTTTGCTCAAGCAGGAGACCCTCTACAATTTGAGACAAGTGGCTGTCCAATCTCTTCTTAAAAGTCTCCAGAGAGCACCCACAACTTCTGGAGGCAAGTCGTTCCACTGATTAAGTGTTCTCACAATTACGAAGTTTCTCTTTCATTCTGTCATTCTCAGTTGACCCAATATATCTCTTGATTCAAAATGCCCCTCCTTTTATTTTACACACCCAAAACCTCACTTGAACTTATTTTTCCTTGCTCTGTGAAGTTCTTTGCACAATTGCGGGGTGAGGGGTTGGGAATTGGAGAGACAATCTTGAAAACTGCTGTAGAGAGAATTTTGAAACTCCTTTATTAAGAAGCGATGAAGTCAAAGAGCTTAAAAACTGCACGTGGCGCTTAGGAGAAAACGGATGGCAGAAAGCGAAAATCAAGCTGCAAGTTAACAATAGCCAGGCAAAATGCAATGTTTCTGTAAGTAGAAAATACACCATCTCCGCCAACTTTAAAGAACCAGAGAAGAAAATTATGATTTCAAATCATAGAAAGGCGCAAAACTCTAAAGAAGAGAATAGGAGCCACTTATCCCTGAAAGACGTGGGATCTTCACATGTTTTCTACAACAATAAAAGTTATCAAAAAAAACAAAAAAAAAAACCCTGTGGCCGGTCAGAGAGATCTCTGCCAATAAAGAGGGCAACAATCCTGTAACCATAAAGGCTATATGTGCTGGTCATAAAAAGATATTTAGCTCACACCAGAGGCTAAACATGGTATATAAACTTGACTGATCTGCCAGTTGTATTGTCAGCTGTCCAAGCTTGGTACTGTTTCTGACTCAAATAAAATTGGGGGAAAAAACTTGTTTTTCCAGCAACTGCCTTTTGATCCCCAGGAAAATTCTCCCAACGCTGCCTTGAAAAAGAGGGGGTGAAAGGTGAGGTGGTAGGTCTCCATCCCAGCAGAAGACACTCCTGGGAACCCCCACATTTTTCCCTCCTTGCACCCCCCAGTCGACGGGCTGCCACCAGCCCTGCAAAACTTCCCAAGTCAAAGAAATGTGCATATAAAGACACAGCCAAGGTGCCAAGAGAGTCCACAGACCTCGAGGAGATGCCCTGAGCACCTTTCCATGATGTTTTGACACAGCCCAGGAGGAAGAAGAAAAAAAAAGAAGGGAAATGTGCATTTCAAAAGTGGGGAGGGCAGGAGAAAAAAAAGGGGTGGAATTCTTGTGCTAAATCAAGAGCAGGTTAAAAGGGGGGGTAGGCAGGAAGGCAGCCACATCTCCAAAAAGAGGGGAGGGGGTGTCCCAGTTCATTGGGTACCAGCATCCAAGGAGGGAGAGGGGAGGTGAGAGGACCAGCTCTAGTTACAAATATGGGTAGTCCGTGATTTACAATAGTTCATTTAGTGACCGTTCAAAGTTACGACATCACTGAAAAAAGGCACTGATGACAGTTTTTCACACTTATGACCATTGCAGCAGCCCCATGTTCATGTGATCAAAATTCGGACACTTGGCAACTGACTCGTATTTATGATGGTTGCAGTGTCCTGGGGTCAACTTTTGTGACCTTCTCAAAAGCAAAGTCAATGGGGGAAGCCAGATTCACTTAACAGCCATGATACTAACTAAATAGCTGCAGTGATTCACTTGTGGCAGTTGTGGCAAGAAAAGTTGTAAAATGGGGCAAAACTCACTTAACAAATGTCTCATTTAGCAACATAAATTTTGGGGCAAAACTCACTTAACAAATGTCTCACTTGGAAACATTTTGATCATAAATCGAGGACTACCTGTAAAGGAGGTTATTTGTAGTTCAGGGTTCCAATGAGGGGGGGATCCTGGTGCTCCCTGAACTTGGTATGCTCCATCCCTTACTGGCTGAATCAGGAAGGCACTGGGGTGGAGGGGTGCTGGTGGTGAAAGGCAGCTGGAATAGGAAGTGCCTTCCAGCACCTTCCCAGCACCGTGCCAATCCAGCTGCCTGGCACCGATGTCCCCCCATCACCATCCCACCGCTGCTGCAGACACCCCTCTGCACCTCACAGAGGCCCCGGATCACGCTGGCACTTCTCTGCAAGCCCCTGCCTCAATCCTGCCTGCCGCCAACCCCTCTCCCCCCCCCGTGTCTCTTGCTGTAGGGCAGGGGTGTCAAACTCAATTTCACTGAGGGCCGCATCAGCATTGCAGTTGCCCTGGGGGCGCCGGGTGGGTGTGGCCAGAGTGGGTGCAGCCTACTGGGTGGGTGTGGATGGAGTGGGTGTGGCCTACTGGGTGGGCGTGGCCAGCTCTACATCATTCGCGTCAAGGGGGCCCGTGGGGGCCTGGGCAGGAGTGGGACAGATCTGAGGGTCTCTGGCAGAAGGGGGTGGGACCGGGGCAAGTGCCAAGGCATGGTCCACCAGGGCAAGTGCCAAGGTGGCCACCACAAAATTATACATTGGCTCCCGGCCGGCCTGGGCCAAGGCCAAGGCAGCAGGGGCTGTTCCCTCACTGTTTCCAGGATGGCTTTGTGGGCCACATGAAACCACTTTGCGGGCTGCATCCAGCCCCCGGGCCTTGTGTTTGACATGTCTGCTGTAGGGCATGGCAGAAGCAGGGTTAATTGTCCCGTGGATGGAATCGGCCATGGAGATTTGTGTCGCCCATGACTAGGCAGTGTGGGAGAAATAGCAGAGTAGTAGTGGGGTGGCATAGCACCAGGAGAGGGCCGGCCGTGGATGAAGACCAGCAGTGGGTCGCCTGGTGGGGATGCGATTAAGTGTCCACGGAAGGCCAGTCACGGACAAAGGCCTGCAGTGGGTCAGCTGGGCTGAGAAAGCCAGGATGAAATGGGCACATCCATGGGTCTGCGATCAATTGTCCCATTCTGTATAAAACCATACATATAAATGTTAATATACAGGCAGTCCTTAACTTATGACCACAATTGAGCCCAAAATTTCCAGGGCTAAGTGAGATAGTTGTTGTGAGCTTTGCCCCGTTTTACAACCTTTCTTGCTATAGTTGTTAAATGAATCACTGCAGTGGTTAAGTTAGTCACTCAGTTGTTAAACGAATCCAGCATCCCCATCAACTCTGCTTGTCAGGAGGTCGCCAAAGGGAATCACCTGAGCCTGGGACCAAGCAACCGTCATAAAGATGAGTCAGTTGCCAAGCGTCCAAATTTGGATCATGTGGCCATGGGGAGACTGCAATAGTTATAAGTGTGAAAAATAGCCATAGGTCACTTTTTTCAGTGCCATTGTAACTTTGAATGGTCACTAAATGAATGATTATAAATTAAGGACTACTTGTACTTCGTATATGACTATATATGAAATATAGTAATTCTTTACTGAAACTGCTGGGTAGAAGTTGGCTTAACTCAGACATGTCAAACACAAGGCCCGGGGGCCAGATGCGGCCCGCGAAGTGGTTTCATGTGGCCCGCGAAGCCATCCTGGAAACAGTGAGGGAATGGCCCCCGCTGCCTTGGCTCTGGCCCAGGCCGGCCGGGAGCCAATGTACAATTTTATGGTCACCATCTATGCTGAAACGCATTCAGTCTTAGCTCCACAAGGCCGTCCAGAAACAGCGAGGAACCAGCCCCTGCCGCGTCGGCCCCGCCCCCTGGGTGCCTGCTGGGAAGGTGTCACCCTTTGTGAGGAATGAAGAAATGGACCATGCCTTGGCGCTTACCCTGGTCCCATCCCCTTCTGCCAGAGACCCTCAGATCTGTCCCACTCCTGCCCAGGCCCCCACAGGCACCCCTGACACGAACAATGTATAGCTGGCCATGCCCACCCAGTAGGCCACACCCACTCCATCCACGCCCACCCAGTAGGCCGCACCCACCCGGCCCCCCAAGGGCAACCGCAATCCTGATGCGGCCCTCAATGAAATTGAGTTTGACACCCTTGGCTTAACTATTCATGGGAACCTAGAGGCCAGGGACATAAGATTAAGCAATTTTGAAAGAACCTCCCCCCTCCCCAACTATTTATAAGTCTCACCTTTAACTTCTTATCCAGGTAGGCTGGAGAAACCCAACCTTGCCTCGATGGGCTTGACTTGGTGGGTTTGGTCCTGACCAGCCACTTCAAAGGATGAGCAGAGTCTAAAACCTCCACATATTGGCCTTCCTTCAGAGTGATGGTTTCACGGTCTGCCCCCATTGGGGTATAGTCAGCAATGACCATGTAGATGTCAAAAATCTATGAACAGAAGGATGGTTGAATTGAACTGAATATACTGAATAAATAGAGAGAATAGAACAGAACAGAACAGAACATACTGAATAGAATAGAATAGAATAGAATAGAATAGAATAGAATAGAATAGAATAGAATAGAATAGAATAGAATAGAATGGGATGGGATGGGATGGGACGGAACGGAACGGAACAGAACAGAACTATGAATAGAATAGATTATAGACTAGATTATAGACTATAGAATAGAGTAGAATAGAATAGAATAGAATAGAATAGAATAGAATATAGAGTAGAATAGAATATAATATAGAATAGAATAGAATATAGAATAGAATAGAATAGATTAGAATAGAATAGAATAGAATAGAATAGAATAGAATAGAATAGAATAGAATAGAATAGAATATAGAATAGAATAGAATATAGAATAGAATAGAATATAGAATAGAATAAAATAGAATAGAATAGAAAACATAATAGAGAACTGAATAGAATAGAATAGAATAGAATAGAATAGAATAGAATAGAATACAAATGTAGAACAGAGTAGAGTAGAGTAGAATAAAGAATACAAAACAGAACAGAACAGCATACTTTATTGGGCCAAGGATCACCTTCTTAAATAACATTTCAGAAGCTGTTATTGGGTGTGAACAACCAGACTCACAGAGGCAGAGTTCAAGCTGATTACTTTATTGTATTCTACCTCTAATATAGGAATCTGCCCAGACTGGCAGCTTTGGCTTGGGAACAACCAGATAAGGCAGTGGTGGCGAACCTATGGCACGGGTGCCAGAGGCGGCACTCAGAGCCCTCTCTGTGGGCACGCGCACCGTCGCCCCAGTCCTAGGCCTTCAGCTGGGTTTTATAAAACCTTTTTGCTTTAGGCCTCCGCCGCCATGTGGGGAAAAAAAGTTCAATCAATCAGTCAATTTCAACTACTCCCAGGGGAAAAAAAGATCTTGCAAAGTTGGAATTGATTGATTGAACTTTTTAGACCCACCCAGTCTGCCGTTACCACCGCAGCCACGCCCACCCAATGGGCCACACCCAGCCAATGGGCCACACCCACCCGGCACCCGACGATGCATAAGTGGGTTTTGGGTTGCAGTTTGGGCACTCAGTCTATAAAAGGTTCGCCATCACTGAGATAAGGTATTAAGGCATTTGGGGGGGGGGGTGTCAGTCTTAGCCTCTTGTGTTTGATGATGATGATGATAATGAATCCAGGCTAATTCCTTGCTAGAGCCCCCTCCCATTGGGAGGATTGCTATGCAACAGCCATTCCATTAGATTATGGTTCAGGGTAGAAGAGAATATTTACAGCTCAGGGTTGAACTAGGAGTCCCCCATGGGCCATAGGCCCACTACCAGGCCATGGTCTTTTTAGAACCAGGCCGCATGAGCAGCAGGCCAGTGTGCATGGGCATGCATGCAGCTCAACCTGCACAAGTCAAGTTGCATGCATAGACGTGTGTGCACCACCCTGTGCAAGTTGAGCTGTGCAAGTTGAGCTCACCACTGGGATGGCCCAGTTCCCTTCTCCCATCCCACTCCCCACCAGGCCACCAATCTGCAAAGGCTCTCTGAGATTGGTTTTTTTTCTGGCAGACATTTCATGACCCATCATCATCAGTGCTAGAAGGAAGGAGGGTTTGCAGGAGGGAGGAGGAGGAGGAGGAGGAGGAAGAGGAAGAGAAGGAAGAAGAAGAAGAAGAAGAAGAAGAAGAAGAAGAAGAAGAAGAAGAAGAAGAAGAAGAAGAAGAAGAAGAAGAAGAAGAAGAAGAAGAAGAGGAGGAGGAGGAGGAGGAGGAAGAAGAAGAAGAAGAAGAAGAAGAAGAAGAAGAAGAAGAAGAAGAAGAAGAAGA